GAGACTTTACCTTAGCAAAATACTGGTTTATCGTCATGTCTCGTTGCGTGATGGATAGAAGCTCGTTCTCCAAAAGTTGCAACCTCGCGCATCGTTCCTCTTCGAGAACAACCCTGCGAATGTGTCCCATGCGTCCTTCGGTGTCTTCGCATCTCTAATGTGCTCTAGCATCTCTTCCTCAATGGTGGTCTTGATAGCGAACATGGCCTTGCCAGCTTTAACCTTCCATTTCTTCAAAGCTGTAGAGTCCTCTGGTGGCGTAACCTCACTACCGCTCACAATTTCCCACAAATCTTGGCCTTGCAAATATGACTCCATGTACGTCGACCACGTGCTGTAATTTTGATTGTTATGCTTCTTGATACCTCCAACCACTTGAAGGTCTCCCATCGTGGCTCCACCCGATCAACTTGCCACACACTCTGCAATACTAAACTGCACACGACCTTTGCAGTACGAAACTGCAAAACTACGATCAAGAAGCTCGACACAACAACTCGTACCTCAACCAACGCCAGACTCCGCTCGTCTGGCTCTGATACCACTTGTTAGGTTGGGTACACTCGCAACACGTGGATACTAACGTAATTACTTTATTAGATTAACAAAGTAATTACAGAACACAATATAGACCNAAATTTTCATTCTCTCTGAATCCCATAACATGTTTTCATCCCTCAAAACCTCATTCCAAAATCCTTTCATTTGCTGAATTTTTGTTCACAGAAAGGTAACGACCTCCTTCTTTTTTCGTGGTTCAGGTTTATAAAAGCCCAAAAAATTTAATGTTCTTCGACATCTCCCAAAATCTTCTAGCTTGTTTTTCGGTCTCTTGGACTAGAAAGCTGCATTAGATTTTATGGTTTTTCTCAAGCTGTTCATTCTCAGCATGTTAGCATTTTTTTCATTTTTTTACTTTATTTTGATTTATGTAAGTACATTTGAAGATCTTTTCTGTTTCTTGGTTGCAGGAGGTGGTAGACGCCTACTAGAAAACACCACAAAAAACCAAAAGTTGAAACCCTTGATTTTTTTTCTTTGTTCAGCACCCTTTTTTTTTCTGCACATTTTTTTTCGATTTATTTTTATTTATTCAGTAAATTTGACTATTTTTTTGCTTGTTTTTGCATGTTACTGTTGGGCTGGGTACACTCGCAACACGTGGACACTAACTATGACACTCACACACTATTTTACTTAGACTCTTAGATGCTTGGNCGACCCTTGCTCGCCACTACTACTAGTTAGTAGGGGTAAGTTAGGAAAAATTATAAATTCAAATTTGCCGTGTAACGACGCGCGGTCACCATCCAAACCCCAGCACCTATATACCATTCACAAAAAAACCAACTTTTTTGTTAAATATCCACCACCTGACTTTAGTGGAATTATCTAGAATTGTTGTGATGTTATAAAATGCGTTAAGGAGAGTGAGTTTATATTCCGGTTTTGATACGTGAAGTATTGTATCTTGGTCCAAATTGTGTTCGTGTAATTACTTTGTTAATCTAATAAAGTAATTACGTTACTGTCCACATGAACCCAACACTACACTTAAAAAAAACCCACCGAACTTCTTCACCTGAGTCGTAATAACAACAATGAGGGACACGAAAAACGAGATGTTCTTCTTGTAGAACACCTTGACAGCTGTCACGACGTGAATGGCGTACACTGTCCCCGCGCCAGAGTTAGCGAATATGGTGATCAAAACATGCTCCTTGACGTTAAACGGGCCTGGGTTGAGACTAAATTCCCATTTCGTCCCCTTGAAGAAAACTCGGGCCGTGATCTTAGCTGCCATGAGCTGGCCCAATGGGACTACGGCTATTTGGGCCGAGATGGCGGTTATGGAGAGCGGCTCCGTACGGTACCAGAAGAACTGATTGAGGAAGGAAAGGAGAATGCATGAGAATGTGCCGAGAAGCCACATACGGAACGTGAGGACCGGGAGAGAGGGATCGTCCGTGATCGAGACCGTGAGGGCCACTTCTCTGATAGGCGAGTTCTCTTCATGTTGATCTTTAGATACTGGAAAAAAGAAAAAGAAAAAAAAAATGTGATCTTTTTAGTCAGATATTCAAGAAAATGTGAGGTAATTGACAAGGATGGACTTTTTCTCAGGCTACAAAAAAGGCAAGAATCAGTTTTTCCTTCATTTTCTTTCAGCTACCATCAAGTTTTTTTTTTTTTA